TCTCTTCGGAGACCTCCGAAAGTGTAGACCACATGCAACAAAAAATTCTAGCCATTTCACTCGGAGCACTGATCGGCTGAGAAGAACATACGCTTCGGATGGCTCCTCTCCCTCAAATCTAAAAATGTGTTTTGCTGCGTCTGGGAAATCGAAATCAGATCCCTGATGCACATCCTTATTATCTTAGCAGCATGCCACTACGAGGAGCAGCAGCACAGAAGGGCCTAGGCGTTTGATGACAGAAAGTCTTAAGCCATCTATGCAGTGTCGCATGGTGTCTAAGCCTCAACTTGAATGCGGTACGCAAACAAGCGGACAATTACAGTTTTTGAAGAAAGCTGTTTGTTTAAAGTCTTCTGTACGTTTGTAAGACCATATATTGAATATGCGATCCAGGCCTACAGATCCTGGGTCCAGCAGGATTACGACATACTGGAAAGAAGGCATAGACGGGCCACAAAATTATTAAGAGGTCAAGGTGCATTGCCCTACGGGGTCAGTATTAATATGCTCCGAATTATAGGCAATTATGCCAACCGTTGATACAAACTATCCTTGTCGTGCATGGCCTGGACTGTATCCTCTCATTTAGTGATATTTTCCAACTCTCCACTACAACTTATTTCTGAGGGCACGCATTCAAACTTCAGGTGCCCCATGGAAGATTGCGTGTTAGGAGTGATTTTTTTCTCTAAGTGTGTCCTGAAACGGTGGAATAACCAGCCCGAAGTGATTGTAACAGTCTGTAGGGGCATTCAAACATGGAGTTGACGGGCAACAGCAGTGTTGTGTGACTCTATGCATACAATGAATTGACAGCGTAATTTTCCCACATCATTCCTAATTCGTGGGCTTTTTGTGTGAAAAGTAGGGAATTAAAGGCGTAAGCCTAGTTTCCCCAAAAACACTAAACTGAAAGTCGGCACAACCGGTTTTGGTAAAAGTTACGTTGCGTGCTGGCAGTGACGTATTAATCACAATAAACTTCATGACAATTTTTTGATAATTTTTTCCAAGAATTTTGATTTTTTTAGTAGGCGTTAGCTTGGACGCATTACCTTCATGGGGTACATATTCACCACTTTCTCAGCAGAGGGAGAATACCCTGCATAAAAAGCGGTTGGAGAATTGCTGAAAGAGGTCTGGAGAGTTCGCAACCCAACTCCTTCTTGCACGTGCCGGCGATTGATCTGAGCCCAGCTGCCTCGGTTTGTCCAGCATAAATACTTTTAGTGAGAAGTCGATGACACCTGTGGTTAAAGCATTCCATCGAAATGCTAAAGATAAAGTTCAACGCACCCAGGTTGATATTCAAAAGCTAACTGAAACCATAAGGATTCCATTTCTTATTATTTTCCCATAATTTCGCAGCAAATCGAAGTAAGGCTGATAGCTGATTGTGGTGAGCCAACTTCAGCTCGATATCGAAAGCATTTGGAAGTCGATATAGACTGCATGCACCGTATTTCCTCTATCAACTGCACCGCCATCACCAAGGCACAACACGAAAGCGTTGCACCAGGAAGTGACCGACGGCGTAGAGGGAAGGCAAAAAGCCACCGATAGGGGCAAAACTTTCATAATACAAGGTCTACCGGAATCAACTGCCACTACCCCCATCGATCGGTATTCCGACGACATGAAGCTCTTCCAAGAACTTCTGAATTAAACGCTGTTACCCAATACGTCAATCGAAGTAGACAAATCCTTCCATCTGGCTAAACGACCAGAGGACCCATCTGAACCAACGTGTCCTAGACCTTTTATACTCATCATGACCAGTGTCCAGGACGCCAGGCTATTTCTGTCTAAACGCTTTAAGATAATAGACTCCAATCCTGGAGTTTTTTTCAACAGGACTTCTCCCCTGGGGAACGGAAAAAACGCCGTCAACTTGTAACCGAACTGAGACAGGCTCAGCGAAGGGGAACAACATTTAATTATTTACAACAACCAAGTGGTCCAGCGTCCAATGTTCACCCCCTGGACAGGTCCTTTCCGGATGACCACGCAGTCGACACAGTAGGGGCGGGACGAGCCTGACCATAACCACTTCTCCGGCAAACAGAAAACTAACGTTCATGTACACCAACGCACAGAGTATGCTATCAAAGCTAGACGAGCTGAAGATTCATGCCTGCGAACTATCACCAGACATAATTTCCCTAACGGAAACTCGGTTGTCTGAACACGTAGACGCCGGCGAGGTAACCATGTCTGGCTACCAACTGTTCAGAAAGGACAGAGTAGGACGTCAAGGCGGTGGCATAGCGACATACATGAAAAATGGACTCACCGTTTTAGAAAAAACGAATAAACTGGCGTGTACTTCCGAAGCGATCTGGCTGTCCATTAAAATATCAGGTGCATCCAACCTCGATGTCCTGACACTCTACCGACCACCGAGAAGAGATCCCGTAGTGGATGCCTCCTTGCTAGAGGGGCTTGAAAAGATTACTGCACGGTCAGATAGCCTGATTGTGGGGGACTTTAACACGCCTCACATCGACTTGGGTGCGGCCGGCGCACATAGCTCCCATCTAACCTTCGACAGTTACCTTCTGAGCATGACTCTTCAGTTATTTCTCATACAACACGTCATATTTCTAACAAGGATGCGCGATGGTCAACAGTCCAGTTGTCTGAACCTCGTTCTCACGAAATCGCAGGACAGCATCGACGAAGTGTCAT